GGATCATTGTGTTCCAATTTTTTCTCTTCATCTAAATTCCAAGAAACATTTATTAGTAATTGAGGCTTTCTAGAAGCCAACTAATGAATACTGAGATATCCCATGGACGCAATTGGCTCTCTCAGTTTTCCAAATTCTTGACCTAGCTATGCTCCAGGTATGGCGGCTCACTTTAGAATGTATCAGTTGAGAGCCTTGAGCATTGTACAAGGACATGTCCATTACCTTTGGGTGGATTTGCCACAACAGTAGGCCAGTCTTTGTAGATTAAGCAAGAATAATGAGATGATGACGTATAACAGACCATCTAAAAGCTTATAAACGAAATGCAAAAGCTATTAAATAATAAGTACATTGCAAGCATTTCCATAAGAGCATTCTATTGGGAATAGAAGTATTAAAGTTATTGAACGATCAAATGCTTCAAATTAAATGAAAGATAAAAGCACCATCAAACTCTTCTATGTTGGACCGAGGAGGATGAGAAAGAATCTGGACAAATGAAGCTGAAACGTTGAATGACAAAATATAGATGTATAAAAGAATGAAGGCAAACTTTACCAAGAAGCTTAGCTTTTTAAACCTTTCATCGATTGAGGAGATAAGGTGTATAATCTGGGATTTCAAGATTCCATCCCTATTTTCAACTGATATATCACATTCAACACCAGTTCCGCGATCAACAACTTTGAGAATAGGCACCTTGGCAGTTGTGATTGGAAGAACACCAGAAACATGCCCTTTACCTAGAGCATATGAATCCATATATGAGATGCATCCAAGTACAACTTTTAATTTTTCGATAAAGAACAAAAGGAGATTAAAGAAGGTAGAAACAAGAAGTCCTCATTAATAATTGCAACTGTAATTCTAGGGAACGCCATCTACTAATCCATGGAACTTAACCAAATAGAAGATAAGTTACTGCTTGAAGGAGATGCTTCTCAATACTACTCTGCTTCCATCATATCTTTTGATAGGAAAAAAAAAAATTCTTTGATAAATTACAAAAAATGGAGAACATAAATACTAAGAGCAAAGAGGATCCAAAAAACTTAGTATAGAAGTTTGATGTAGAATAATAAAACAAATCAGGAGCTATCTCGTAAACGAACCCATAGAATTCCGAAGAGCCAAGTAAAGAACCCTCTCTCACACAAAATGCGTGAGAAGAACTTGAACTGAAATAATAGCAAATGTAACCACCCAAATGCTCCAAACATTGTTACAGATCTCACCCACACCTCCCAATTATCTTTTTATCTTATAATTACTCAATTTCCAAATTTATTTCTTCCATCTCATGATCATCGTTTGTTTAGAAAGTATAAGAAAGAAAAGACATTATCTCAAATGATCTCTGCTTCAGTTACATATCACCCAGTATATAAGTTCTTGACTTACAAGATAGAACTTTAAAGCAACCAAAATAGAACTATATTATCTTTCCATCAGTGAACTAAAATATTGCAAGAATAAATGATATACACAGAAATTCCATAGAAAGTAAAATCCCCAGCTCCTCTTTCTTTCCAGTTAGTCAATTAGATTTCTTACGTCCATGGAACCCTATTTAAAATTCATTGTGTTCAGATGATAATCATAGTGCTGTTGTTTCCCAACCATGATCTTCAACTTTTTCCCTTGTAAATTTGTCCCGGAATACGGGCCAGGAATATTATGGATCTAGCTTTCACTATGGTTAGCTTATATTTTCCAAGTGCTCTCTATCCATGGCTTAGTAATTAAAATAAATGCACGCCACCTAACTATTAGTAATGCCCTCATTCGGTCTGATATAATTAGCTCCTTTCATCACATGTCACTGTTATAACTTCTGAGTCTAAATAGACTTGATTGGTTTAAAAATAAACCATTCTTTTTGAACTGAAATCAAGTTTCCATCTAAGGAAGGAGCTCCCAATCTCCCACTCCGACTATACAAATATGGGTGGTGAGAAGTTTGCTAGCCATTATTAAAGAAGGGTAGTTTCCTGGCGATAGGGATTTTGATTATCGTGATGCCGAAGAGGCACCAACCCAGCATGAACAAAACCGGGAAGTCCCTTCTTCGTCTAGAAGATAAATATACCTTAGATTTCTGAAGCCTAAATTGCCTTCAGAAATTTGCAGTTAAGAGATGAACAAGTTGAATATATTCTTAAAAAATAATGAAATATGAATCAAAACAAACCAGGAAAAAATGCAATCTAAAATTTTACATTGTAGAGCATATAGTTTCTTTGCAAACTTCCTCAAAGTTTGAATCTTCTTTTCGCGTGGAAATTCAACCTCATTAGTGCTAAAATTCACAGACAGATCTAAATCACTTGTTGGGCTAAAGAGATCCATTAAGAAAGAGCCAAATTCCACCACAACGGGAGTCACTTTTGAATATCCTGAAAAGAAAAGGATCAAACAAAAATCATGATAAGAAAGTGCTCCTTGATATAGGAAACTTTCACGAGTCCGAAATATTCATGGCGATAAAATAAAGTGCAAATTCACAAAGATCCACAAGTGTCATTATTATATGAACATTATTAGTGAATTAAAACAAGAAGCAAATATGACAAGTGATTTCCTTTCAACAGTTCAGCTTGTTTATGTAAATTCAGCATTAGTATTACCATATATTTCCTTTGCAATTTCATTAAACACTAGGATTAAATCTCTTCGAGATTCATAATCACTCTGCTTTGGGCGCCGAATGTCATAAACGTCTTGAAGAATTGGCTCAAGATCAGATACACGTTCCTTTGTCACTATAGGACTCTGTAATTTCTTCAATTCAAACTTCTCTGCTTTCTTTCGCAAAACTAAAGACATAGCACAAAATAGTAAGATCAGTTATAACTATGGTATGCAAGACATCGACACATTTGTAGCTTGGCACTTAGCTAGGTAAAAAAGCAATTGTATAAATACAAAATTCCAATGAGTCATAACCCTTGGTGAAATTTGTTTACTCGTGAATTTCATTTAGAACAAAAGGAATTTCACATTTTGGGCATGTTTTTACATCTATAAGCTACAACAAGAAACTGAATTTGACAAGTTGCAATTTCCTCAAGTTGCCAATCTAACAAACTGAAAAACTCTCAGACATAACCATGTAGGAGTGCCCACAAATTCGAGATACCCTCCATGGTCTTTATATAAAAAGAGATATATGTTGACCTAAAAGGTAATATTGTGCCCTTTTCTTCGTTAGCACAAATTTTGTCTCCAATTAATAAAGCATAAGTGCTACCTATCTACATTTTACTTTAAGATTAACAAGGTTTATTTACTGCTTCAGGAGGATCACCAGCTAGCTAGTCAAAAAGATTGAAATGGAAGTTCATTTACTCAACTTGACACATGGAAAAGAGCCATTGCATGGCCAATTGTCGGTATAACTATAGATGCCCGGGATCACCGACCAAGTCAATGTAATTTGATTTCAGATTTTTTTTATTAAGCTTATTGGTTAAAGTAACGTTGGAACTATCTCTTGTTTCCATAATGACCCAAAACCATTTCTTCTAACGTTTTACTTCCTCTGCTTTTGATTTCAAGCTTGTCAACAGAACAGTGATCCTACAAGTCATTCGCGATATTTAAAAATCAACCTTTTTCTATTGCAAGCTTAAACTCACAAACCTGAATTTTTCTACAAAAACCCCCATTTGAATAAGTGAACCTTTTTTTTTTATAGGTAATCACGCAATTTTATAAATAA